AGCCTTGGCGAGAGACCAGAATGCACGGGTTCCAGAAGGAAGGTGAACTAGTTTCTCGCCAATTCTGCCTATGTGCTCTGACTTTGCCTTGGCAATGACTCTTTTGAAGGACCTAGAGGCGGAATTATGCTTCTTTTTTAGAGCGCTGGTGTTTACATCCTGGGACGTTGATACGTCAGCCCAGGCTTGGTAGCACTCCTGCTTATAGCATGATGCTATTTTACAGGAGCGACCAAACCATGGTTGAGATTTGCCTCCAATGGGCACCACAGAGGAAGGAATAAAAAGTTCCATACCCTGAAGTACCACATCAGCGACAGAATCCGCAACAACGTTGGGATCGTCCGGCGAGAAGCAAACCCGCCCCCAAGGGTAGGATGCAAAGAAAGACCGCATCTCATCCCAATCGGCTGACCTGTAGTACCAAAAACGGCGGCAGCCTGCAGAATGCAACTACGATTTCAGCGTGAGTGGCATCACACTCCGGACAAGACAATGGTCCGAGGAGCCTAAAGGGGCGTCAACGGAAATCTGATATCCGTCCGGGTGAGAGGTCAGCAGAAGGTCCAACAGGGAAGGTGCATGATCCTCCACATCTGGAATCCGCGTAGGCAAAGTAACCAGTTGTGTCAGACCACATGCCAAGGCAAAATCATGAACAGATCTCCCCACATGATCGGATAAACGTGAACCAAGCCATTCGGCGTGATGGGCGTTAAAGTCGTCGAGGATCACGATCTCTGCGGAGGGGATCTGCTGTAGCAACGAATCTGTAGCCATTTGGACGTGGTCGAACAGTGTTTCGGCATTACCGCTATGGGATAAGTCCCATAGCGGTAATGCCGAAACAAAATATTTTATGTGTCGGGGGGAGGCGTAGGCCAAGTGAAACACAGAAGAAGTCTTACGCTCTTATGAGAATGGGGGTTTGATATGATGCTGATGCTACTAGATGATTTTGAGATAATCATAATCATAATCTTTATTGCAATCAAGTGGTAACAATAGATGTGATCTTTTTAAAAAAAATAGTCCGCATTTGAACCCAGTTTGGGCGTAGCAATTATAAAAATATTAAATATTATTTTTAAACTACAAGATTTCATTAATAAATTATGGTATTATTTTAAAATTCTGTAAATTTAATTAAATTAATAATCACAATGTCAAGTAAAAAATAATAATTATTATTATAAATAAAAATGAAATTAAGCAAAAAAAAAATAATAGAATAAAAAAATTAAATTAAATTAGATAGGCACAGGCCGAAGTTGTCCACACAAATTAAATAACATTTGTACCAAAATATTCATTTAAATTATAGAAACATTTTTCAATTAAATATATATTTAATTTAGATAAAAATAAAGTAGCACTCGTTAAATTTTTTATATCATTTGTAGCCTATTTTTATTTGGTCTAATTGAGTATTTGTATATAATTTGTTACACTTAATTTGGTAAATAGTTCTGGGTGGTTTTTTATTTGCGTGTTTCCCCAGTGTAAATAGACGTCAAAGTCAAAATTTTAAACTTTTTGAAGTGGGGCTTACAACTTTCTGGAATTTTTATGTTTGCCAAGATTCTTATGATTTTTTTTGCATTATTAATAATTGCTGTGCATCTTTACTATTTCCCCACAACATGACACCATATGACAGCCACGAAGATGTGTATGCGTAATATGCTTACAGAGCGCTGGGGACATCTGTGGTTTTCTTTATTTCTCGTAATACGTAAGTGAATTTGCCTATTTTTTACTTTATTTATATGGGCTTTCCAGTTTATATGGCAGTCGATTTCCAGGCCTAACACGTTGAATTTGTTAACAGTTCCTATAGGTATATTATTGTAAGTAAAAGCGATATTTAGTGGTGATTTTTGAACTGGTGGGAATTGCATAATTTTGGTTTTATTAAAATTAATCTCTAGCTTGTGATGTGTCAGCCGATTTGTAACCTGGTTCAATACTTAATTCGATTTATTATTTAAATTCTGATCTTTTGTATGCGGAATAATAATGGAAATGTTATCAGCAAATATAATAGAGATTTCAGTCAATACCCTATACTGAAAAAGAAAATCGCACAACACAAAATGTAAAATTACTCGTCATACCTTAAGAAAAAAATAAACATTTATTATTTGTAATTTTATATTATTAAAATTAAAAAATTCATCATCATCGACGCTTTCCAAAATGCGAATGAGTTCTGAGGAATCGTTCATGTTGCGCTGCACTACTTTTTCCGCTATTCGTTTATGACGTCATCAGGGTGTCGTCTATCCTTGACCACGGCGCCCAATGAACTGATCTGATAATCGACGACGCGCTAAGGATGCGCCAGAGTTGAGATATTAGATTTATTATGCGAAGTTGATTTGATAAAATTTTCTTTTATTTATGTAGCTGATGATAGTTTTATGTTTCTTACCTTTTGTTTTATTCAAATATCAATAATAATTTAAAAAAATAACACGTTTGCGTTTAATTTTGAGTATTTTTCAATAAATCTATGCCTAACGCATTACAACACTAGCGGTCAAACATAGACGACTTTGGCGTGCTGGACATAGTATTTACTTAGATAAAAATCCATTTTTTTTTGTTCAGTGTTTCGTAGTACTCGTGGCTCTAGGAGACTTGTTTTTTTTACTCACATGTTGCTAGGTTATTCTTCTTTGAGGAGTGTAGAATTAAAATACCATTAATTACTTCCCAATAGCTATATTTCATATTTTTGTGGGCCGGGTTTTTTGTCAACTATAGACGTCGTTGGCGCTCAGAGCTCGCAGGTGCTTGTCAAGTATAGGCGGCTATGGCGCTCAAAAGGTTAATAGGCTCGTAGTCAGAGTATACACCGTCTACTACGACCTTAACGCTCTGATCTGCAAGAAAATCGATGATCGAATTGCACAACTTGTTGGGAAGCTCATAGGAAGTACCTAAGCTTCTAAAGAAGCGCTTTATGCCATAGTCCATCGAAGGCCTTCGCTATGTCCAAAGTAAGTACCATGGCCAGAGTCAGGTAAGTCAGAAGATTAGAACTAGAACCAGCTAATTAGCGATCGCCAATGCGGTCACCAATCAGCTGGTTATCCTTAAGGTACCTTATGAGTTGGCAGTTTATAATGGATTCCATTGTTTTGGAGTACAAGAAGGCAATGGTAATAAGCCGGTGGTTGGATGGGTCTGAGCGGTCGCCTTTTTAGGTATCGGGTGCACTAAAGCTGTCTTCAATAAATTCAGGATTACGCCTAGGGAGTAGGAGTGCTGGAAAAGACTCGTTACAACCGGTTGACGTCCAGGGTGAAAAATGCTTCGCTCACTGAGCGCTGCGTAAACCGCACATCCAACATGGAATAGTGTGGGTCATCGAGAGTCGAGTTGGACTCAAAAAGAAAGAAGAAAGGGGACTTATTTGTTTCTCTTTTTGCTTGCGATTCACGTCTGGACAGTAGCAACAGCGTACCATCTCAATAACCTCACTGCGTTACCTCTATGTCGGAGGTCCGTATCACCAACAAGGAGGTTCTTAAAACCTTGCGAAGTATAGAAGTGAACAAAACTAGTGGATCTGATGGTATAACAGCTATAATTCTAAAGATCTGTGCACCTGAGTTGTCTCCTGTGTTAACGCGCTTGTTCCGCCTCTCATTTAGGACTGAAATCTTGGAAGCTAGCCAATTTGCAGCTTGTGCCTAAAAAGAGCAGCTGTGCCGACCCTGCCAACTATCGGCCGATTTGAATTACCTCCATACTCTGTAAGATTATAGAGCATAAATTGAACGACCTAATGGTATTCTTAAAGTGGAATAATCTCCTCTGTGACCGCCGGTACGGGTTTTGCCGAAATCGATTACCAAATCGAACATTTAAGCGTACCTGTGTCACTCACATATGGGGCGAACCCTCGAGAACAATTGGGAAGTACTTGCTGTTTCCCTTGATGTGTCGAAGATCTTTGACAGGGCTTGGCACGCTAGCGTTTTGGGCAAGCTTCCAGCGTACGTCTTATTGTCTGGGTGAAGAACTTTTTGAGTAAACGATCTTTCCGAGTCGTCATCGGTGGCTGTTCGTTTAGTCCTATCGCGACAAACGCCGGAGTTCCTCTGGGATCCGTTCTCTCCGCAACTCTCTACCCGTTGCATATTAATGATCTGCTTATTCCTAGTGTCTTAAGTTATGCAGATTGCAGACGACAGCACCGTTGTGGAGAGGTACCAGCTGAACGCTCGTGTCAGTCGAGACCAAATCCAGTCCGAAAGAGAAGCTATGGTTTTGCGTGCGAATCTCTTACGGCAGGCAGTCAGTATAACAGTGGTAGAGCCACGCGGCAGCTTTGCTGTTGCACGTATGGGCCGGCTCAAATCGGGGTGGTACCACGACCTCACAGAATACCGGCGTGAAGTGGAAGCTCTGCTTCCGCATTTCGTCTGGTGAGTGCAGGTGGCCGGAGGCCCAAATCACCTCCCCCCATCAACATGGTACCTAGCGGAATTAAATGATGATAGACTACCCCAGGAGGGTACCAGTACCCCTGGAGAATCCCTCGCTGAGCATCCACGACCATGTTTCTCCACTTCTGAGCGTGGGTGCTCAGGCTGCCCCGCGTATTCTGGGGGGGGGGGGCAAAATTCCGCTCAAGACTACAACTGCTCCTGGCAAACGGAGCAACAAGACCAAGGCGACCCTTGCCACGCTGTTCGTGAATTTCTGCAATATCAGTTGACTTCACTCTAACCTAAACGCCGTCCACTACCATCTCGAGACGGCGAAGCCGGCTCTACTCTTTCTGACCTTTCTGACCGAGACGCAGGTGTCCTCTCCGGCTGATGTCTCGTATCTCTCCTACCCGGGGTACAAACTGGAACACTCCTTTGTGCCTCGGGCTGGAGTTTGCGTTTACGTCAGAGAGGACATCTGTTCTCGACGCCTCGGCAGACTTAAAGGTACGTAATACGTAGTAACGTAGTGGCCACGAAGCATCAAATGAAGAAATGTCAGTGCGAAATGGGACAGTTAGTGAAAGAGCTGATGAGAATTGTGACAATGACTTGGAAAATGACGAAAATGACATTTTTGATTTGACTTTTCCTACACCTACAAGTGAAATAAACCTGACTGTGGAATATGCAGAAGTTGTTAAGAAGGTACGAAAAGTAGTAAAACTATTTAAAAATTCACCTACTAAAAACGATCTGCTGCAGACGTATATGACAAAAGATATGGGAAAAAATATTGCTTTATTGTTGGATTTGATTACTGCGGAAACTACTTTGAGATTTATTATTAGCAAACTGATAAATATTAATAAACCGTTAGTCCGAAAACTTGTTGATTCGTTGAGGAAACGGATCTCAGAGCGGCGAACTGACTTGACAGCGATTTTATTATACTTACATGATCCACATAAGTACGAAGAAGACAAAAGTCTATTTATTTATGATGAAACATTCAATCTACCTCCAAAGAGTGTAATACGCAAGGCCATCAAAAATATAGTAGAAAGGCTAGAGTACACAGGAAGCAATGCAGTAACCACTACTCCTGTTGATGATCCTTATGACGACATCCCTCTCTCTAATCTCGAGACGCAAACGGCAGCCGCAGCACCAATGTCACTTGAAAACGAACTCAAACTGACTTTGACTAGTATCAAAAATCCTGGCTCAACAGCCCAGCCACCTAGGTCTGGAAGTATGAGTAACCTTGAGGTTTTGATAAAGAAGGAAATAAACTATTTCGAGTCGGGTGGATTAAAAGGCACTTACCTTCAGTTCGCCTATAACGCACTTATGACTATTGTACCAACCAGCGTGGAAGCTGAGCGGGCTTTTTCAGCTGCTGGCTACCTTGTGTGCAATATCAGAAGCTGTTTAGCAGATGACACAATTAATACTTTAACTTTTTTAAGAAGCTACTTCCAAAATAATGTTTAATTATCACTGCAATTTATGTCATCATCTTTTGGTTTTGTATGTCTAAAGTAATAAATAAACCATTTAAAATATACCAAAAGGCTTGTTTTATTTGGCTTCAAATTGAAACCATGGAAACGAAGTCTTTAATTTAGATTTCAGAGGTCTAGTTCCACCCTGCTGGATCCATCAAATACCTGGATCCAGCGGGACTAAGATGGTTCAATCCAGCAAATACCTGGATTGAAATTATCTTGCGGAATTGCATTCCCTAATCACCAGTCAAATCGAAGGTAGAAGGCTAGAAGGGTCCCTCGCGTAGCACAGATGCGATTGGTATTTGTAAGAAGTTTACGTAGGTATTTATGCACCTCTTGAATATCTACTAACTATTTTTATTTAACTTTATTTAAATAATTACTTTTATAACTGCAATAGCAAGGAAAATGGGGTTTAAGTAAACGAAAATGGAACAATAATGTCGTTAGCACTTAGCAGGTGTCTCCTCCTCTGTACTCCTATAATAATTGATTGGCAACAAAAGGTAAAAATAAAAATAAGTACGGCAACGGCAGTGAGGTGCGGGTGCGAGCTTGCACGGCGCGGCGTCGAGCAGGCAAGTGGCCGGCCAGCGCGGAGCGGCAACGTCGCTATATCGACCCAAAACCAAATTCACACCGTCACGCAGCTACGGACTCTCCAACTTTAACTTCAAATCCGAAACTACTACGCATTTGTGCTATATACCTAGATCCTACATAGAACTTGCTATTTGCCTATAAAAACCATCTAGATTATACATATAACAGCATAAACTTAAAGCGACGTTTAATTGTACAGCACTACTTGCCAACATTAGCAGCAACGGATTTAATTACAAAATAAACTTTTATTGTAGGTACCTAGGTATAGTTTCAACCTTACTAGGTAGGTACCTAATTAATGTATTAAGTAATTATAATTATCTCTCAGATGATTGTATGATACACCCACACGTCTTCGAAAGTAGCCCTAACTACAGCGTACGTGTACAGATTATAGACCTATAATAATTAGATATATAATTATTGAAATTGCACTCTACTATGTTGCAGATTCTGTATCTCAGAACAACCATTTGACATAAATATAATCATCGATTTATATATTACACAGTTTTGTATAACTCAATGTATATAATAATTTCGTGTCTAATTACCTATTGTGCAGATAGTTCTAGTCAAAGACATTCGAATTGTTTCTGCTGCACACAACCCAAATCTTTCTTGGATCTTATCATATTAAGCATTAGAATCTCTTAGATTATGGATGAGTGTGAGTAAGTTAGAAAGAGCCATCTTCAGGATAAATAAGAAACTCTACAACCATATTACACCCACCCCACTACGTGGTAACTTTCTCGAGATGTTCTTTATATCATGTTTTTCAAGCTTCTATGGCAAAAAGTAGGTCCCAGTTTCCTACTTTTTGCCATATGTAGCTATCAGGGGATTCTATTGAAGTGCATTCAAGTAGATTATAATAGAAAAATGAAAGCTTTTGCTGCTGAGTAACAACCACAGAAATCGTAATAATAAGACAATATTAAGTACTATTTCTGTGGTAACAACTAGTTCTGCCATACTCATTGCGAACGACGCCGATCCGGTTTGTGAAAGCCACATTTCAAAAAGTTTCCTTTTACTGATTAATGTTGTTGCGCGAAGAAAGAACGCATGCAAATAAAATAACAAAAAAGACTACTTCGTGCATGTCGGCAACTTGACCTAGTATTGTGAGTGTGTGCGCGTCAAGGTTAAACCGGGTCGTGTATGATGCGCCCACATAAATTCACGAGAAAAAAAAGCGGAACCAGGAAAACAAATGAAGCGATCACTGATTGTGTGATATTAAGTACAGGATATTCCAGTTACCTACACCCTACATGCATTCAAAGTTCAAACTACATTATTAAAGGCTGATATCTTAACTGACAGAAAATACTATTATCTGTAAATTAATTTGAAAGGGCGAACTATTCTTAAGGTGAAGTGGGTGCTGCTTTTCTCACGCTTTATAGGTGGAATAAAAATTTATAAAAATAAATATTTGTTGGTACTTATTAGTTTACAAGAAGCGCATTGGACGATAGTGTCCAATCCTGACGATTAGTGTCCAAGATGACGATTTTGTTTATTTTGAAGTCGGTTGGACAAAATTTTTAATTTTACCACTTGTTTACCTAAAGGTAAGTTGTGGACGGATTTATTATTATTACAGTGGACGGACAACTGCAACCAACTTTAAACAATGAAGGCTACTGATGTGTTGTCACGTCTGACGACTATGATGGGATGCATCACAGTCTATACTTATACTGGTCTATATACTCCTCAGACCGGAAAACAACAAACACAGCTATTGTATGGCAGAAATAGGTAAAAGGGTATCCAGGCTCTTTTGGTGTACCCCATTATTTTCTCAAATTATTTTATAAATAAACGCTGGTTATATCAATCAATTACAATACATTTGTATACTACGTAGATGTATTCAACTATTAGTGGGTTACGAAATAATCCTACACTTATGAAAGTGCGATCTGCAGCTTGTCGCTAGGCTTGGGTAAAAAATATCGATATATCAAAGTATCGATATTTTCTTAAATTCTTATATATACATATATATATATATATATATATATATATAATTTCGATATATTTTAAAATGTTGTATCGACAAAACATTAAGCAACTAAACCATTCTTGTGTCAATGTCGTTTTTTTTTCGTCATCAAACCGTCCAGTAATAATATTTTGAGCATTACAAAACATTACGATATATCGATATTTATCACATGAAAATATCGATACTGTTTAAAAAATATTGATACGATATATATGGATATAGTTTTTTACTTGCTCATCCCTACTCGTTGCTAAGCCTAATGAGTACCTAAACGAAATATTGCTAGCAGGGAGCAAGGACACGCGAGGGACCCCGCGCGTCGATCGCCCGCCCGCGTTTGCTTCACCCCCTTAAAACCAACGTGAACACGATACCATTTCGTCTTAAAACACCTTTGAACTTTTCTCCAAAAATCACAAAAAATACAACTGAAAAAAGTAACACAGAATTAAGGCGTATTCTACTTTGTTTGATTTCTGTACTTGTGCTTTTAAACTTTTAATATCTATGAGTAACACAACTGCAAATATTCAAAAGTGGTTAAAATAACAAAGAAAAATAGCTTGGAAAATCCAAAAGTTGCACTTTTGGATTTTTCAAACTATTTATCGCCTCATGAGCGTTTAAAATTAAATGAAATTATGATGAAAAAAAAAATTAAACGTCTATGAGTCTGATAACAACCAGCAATAGTACCTCACCCTGAGGAATGAGGATAGATGGAAATTTATTCAGAAATATTTATTTCATTTCATTGCGTATATTTTTCTGAAACGTGAAGACGAAACTACCTCCTCAGTCCTAAAAATTTTTAACTGCATTTTTTGTAAATTTAACTAAACAAATGAATAAAATACACTGACTTTATAATTTAATATGTGTAGTTTTCAAAACATCCCTTTTTTATTGATTTAGTGCCTCAGTAGAGACATATTAACAATTTTATGTTGCAAAATCATCACATAGCTGCATGTCGAGAGTAGAGCACTCCCACTCACACACCGGCGCGTGCGGCGAGGCGTGCAATATTTGGGTTTGCTATATAATTGAAAACTTTGGCTGAAGAACGTTACATGATATCTAATCGAACTGCTCCTAATTAATGCTTTAGTGACACGGTAAAACAATAATTTTTTAAATAAACTCTCATTTCTAAAACTACGATGGTAATAAATTTATAATTTAACAATGTAACCATAGCCAGCCTTCAGAAAAAAAAAGTCTAACTAATGACCTTACTTTAATTCGTACTTATGGACTTAAAATTACATTTCTTTTAGAGGTTGTTCATTACAACAAATTTCAACTAGAATTTGTAGCATACCTGCATCGAAACGCAAAAAAGATAAAATGTTTTCACAGTATGAGTATTAAATCGTACGTATTACGTCTGACACCGTATTGTTTGTGGTGCCACCCATTGTTTGTAGGGATTCATTGCGCGGCTCACATTCACTAAGTATTGCCAATGTGATATGAATGTGTACTAACAAAGCGCTTTTTATACAATATACCCCATTAGTCTTTATTTGCAGTTTACAGTCCTATTACCTGTACTGTATTACGTTTCTGATGCATCGCGAAAACTTTTAAAAGAAAGAAATAAAACTCGGGCACTTTAAAAAAAATATTCCAAGTAAAGCATACCAGCAAGTGTATTCTTGGAAATGCTAAGTTTTTTGTTTGCTATTCTGGCAAAGTCCGGCAACTCGTAAGGGCTGTTAAAGATGAGCGTTACCAAATGTCTCTTCTAAAAATTTATTCTTTGAGTTAAAGTTACATACTATATACGTCCTACTGCTGGGCACAGGCCTCCTCTTATTTTTGAGCGGGTTTGGGGCAAGGAAACCTCTGCCGCGCCGGCTCAATGCGTGTTGGCGAACTACACAAATGTCTTCGAAATATTTTTTTTCTTATTTCTCAGACATGCAAGTTACATCACAATGTTTTCCTTCACCGCTGAGCACGTGGTAAATCAGAACTCAAAATTGCAATTAACAATTTTATTAGTGCCGGCGAAAATCGAACCTATGTTGCTCGCGTACTGAGCTACCACGGGTTCTTCGATTACTTAGCTTTAAATTTTGAATTGACTTAAATAAAACTCAGGGTTTAAAACCATGGTAAAAATGAAATAGTTTTAATGAGAGATATTACAGTAAATATAGAAAACGAATTGTATGTGTTATGCAAACATTTGAACGCAGGATCCATTAAAATATAACTAGAATCGTACGCTGAATTCTAACTTAAAAATTAAAACATTCTTTTTATAGTAAGTAACACGTAATATTACCAGCGATCCGCGCCGACTTTCCACGGGTGATTTCTGGATCCCGACAACTGTGCCACCT